AACACAACATAGGATTGTTCTTAAAAATGCTTTCCCTCAATCTCTCTACTTAAAAATGTAAAAGTGTACAAGGAGCTGGCTGATGCGGGCAGGTTAACTTGGGAATCAGTGTTTTAATTTGGGCACATTCTGTGTGGCCCACTTATATCAAGCCTAGGAGATTTCTACAAATAAGGTAATAACACCCTTCAGTTCCGTTCAGTCACTCAGTCGTGTCCGACTCTTTGCAACCCCATGGACTGCAGCAAGCCAGGCCTCCCTGTCCGTCACCAACTCCCAGAGCTTGCTCAAACACATGTGCATCGAGTTGGTGATGATATCCAACCATTTCATTCTCTGTCACCCCCCTTCTCCTCCTGCCTTCAGTCTTTTCCAGCATCAGGCTCTTTTCCAATGAGTCAGCTCTTTGCATCAGGCAGCCAAAGTATTAGAACTTCAGCTTGAGCATCAGTAACACGCCTAGAGATAAATAACCACACTAATCCAGTCAACGAAACATGAGCTTTCTGTGCTGAGTCTGGAAGCCCTTGAGAACACCTGCAAGTATTTAAACACACAAGTTTAACGCTTGAAGCAGCCTTAGCTGCTACATCTTACTGATACACCTTAGCTGATACATCTTACTCTCCCTCCCAGTCATCCTCAAATCTTAGAATATGCCATTCAGAATTCCTTAAGGGCATGAGGTTACTAGCAAAGTCTGAAACACCTCAGTCCTACTCATTCCCAAATTCAATTTGGTGCTGTTTGCATAACAGTACAAAGCCTACTAGGGCCAGTGGAGAATCTCCTACTATCTAGGCGTAATTAACTGGCCTATCCTTTCCCTATGCTAATAAAGTTAAAGACACAGAACCATATGAAAGATATTGTTCACCAAAGAAGTAAATATTCCTTCACATCTGATTTTTATTCATCTCTCAAATTATTTGATACACGTAGCTTTCATTTTATTTCTCAAAGAAAAAATTCTAGATTTAGAATGAAAGAAACTCCATACACTGGTTATTTGACAATTTGGTGGTTTTTAAAATTCCACATATTAAGTTTTTGTTAAAATATTAAAATAAAATAAAGACTGGAGGCAGTGACATCAGGGAAGGCCTTCTATGAAACTGATTTCAAAAAAGAATAAGACAGATGTGAGGGTGGGACAGAAAGGGAAACATTCCAAAGAGAAGGAACAGCATTGTCAAAAGGCCTAGAGGCAAAAAGAAAAAAAAAAGAGAGAGCACAATTTGGCATCTGTTATCCTATGGATGGAGGATCCACTATCCATGGGGTTGCAAAAGAGTCAGACACAACTTTGTGACTAAACAACAAAGTATATCTTAGGCCAGTGTTACCTAAACTTTTTTACCACAATCCCATGATACTCTTGGACACAGTACACACGTGTATTTTCATACGTATGCAGGGGTCCTCCTTCCTACCCGACTTGCCCACCTGATTCAAACTCTCACTGCGCATACTAAAGTTCCTAACAGTCTCAGATCAGTTATTTACAGGCTGGAACAACAGACTGGTTCTAAATCAGGAAAGGAGTACATCAAGGCTGTCTATTGGTCATCCTGCTTATTTAACTTATATGCTGGAGAGATGCTGGACTGGATAAAGCATAAGTTGGAATCAAGACTGCTGGGAGAAATATCAATAACCTCAGATATGCAGATGACACCATCCTTATGGCAGAAAGCAAAGAAGAACTAAAGAGCCTCTTGATGAAAGTGAAAGAGAAGAGTGAAAAAGCTGGCTTAAAACTCAACATTTAGAAAACTAAGATCATGGCATCCGGTCCCATCACTTCATGGAAAAAAAAAAATAGATCAGAAAACAATGAAAACAGTGACAGACTATTTTTTTGGGCTCCATAATCACTGCAGATGGTGACTGCAGCCATGAAATTAAAAGACGCTTGCCCCTTGGAAGAAAAGTTATGACCAACCTAGATAGCATATTAAAAAGCAGACACATTACTTTGCCAACAAAGGTCCATCTAGTCAAAGCTATGGTATTTCCAGTAGTCATGTATGGATGTGAGAGTTGGACTATAAAGAAAGTTGAGCGCCAAAGAATTGATGTTTTTGAACTGTGGTGTTGGAGAAAAGTCTTTTGAGTTCCTTGGACTGCAAAGAGATCCAACCAGTCCATCATAAAGGAAATCAGTCCTGAATAAGCACTGGAAGGACTGATGCTGAAGCTGAAACTCCAATACTTTGGCTACCTGATGCGAAGAGCTGACTCATTTGAAAAGACCCTGATGCTGGGAAAGATTCAAGGTGAGAGAAGAAGACGATAGAGGATGAGATGGTTGGATGGCATCACCAACTCGATGGACATGAGTTTGAGTAAGCGCCGGGAGTTGGTGATGGACAGGGAGGCCTGGGGTGCTGCAGTCCATGGGGTCAGGAAGAGTCAGACATGACTGAGCGACTGAACTGAACTGAACTGCTGGTGTCTCTCCCCGCAGCAGAGACGGAGGAAGGCGAGAGCCTGCAACCTCCCCAGCACCCCGCCTGGGCCACGGGTGGTAGCACCTGGTAGTTTTCCTTCTCTAGGCCCCTCTCCCTCCTCCTGAAGCTGACAGGGAGTCACAGAGCCCAATTCCTTTGCTTCAGAAGCTAGACAAGCCCCCATACCACACCCTTACTCAGCCTCCTCCCTTCAGCTCCCTCCCTTCTCTCCCTGGAAGGTCTGCGCTCCAAGAATCAATCCCTGCACATGAAAAACTCACGCGGTGCCCAGGGGCCCATATGTTGTGCTCCAAGACCACCCAAATGAAGGAACCAGGGGTTGTCCAAAACATGAGTAATCCTGTGGCTGGGCTGGGGAAGTACCAGAGGGGCCAGGACTTTCTGTGTGATAAGTGAAGGAAACGCTCAAAAAAAGATGGGAACATGTCACAAGGACCCAGAAGCTGGTCTGAAGGAACTCTAGGTGGCCAAATCTGGGAAAATGTGGGTACCAAAATATTTACAGTGACAAATGGTACACCATTGAGGAAACAAATTCCTGAATCCATGCCAATAATCATGCCAATAATATCAGTAAGAAACAAGTGTATTCTTGTTTACAGCAAAGTGTAAACAACTGTCTAACGGAGAGATAACCATCTAAGTGGAAAGAATGCTGGAGGTAGAAAATCATTTTACAACCATCACAGGAAACACTGAATCTGGCAAAAATCATCAACAGAGGCTCCATCAAAAGGAGTTTTCTGATGAGGAATGAACATCCGCATAGCCTTCAGTGGTCTCCCCGCACCAGGTCATGCTAAGTCACTTCAATCTAGTCTGGCTTTGCAACCCCATGGACTGTCGCCCACCAGGCTCCTCTGTCCATGGGGATTCTCCAGGCAAGAATACTGGAGTGGGTTGCCATTTCCTCCTCTGGGGGATCTTCCCAGCCCTGGGATCGAATCCATGTCTCCTGTGACTCCTGCACTGTAGGCAGATTCTTAACCACTGAGCTACCTGCGAGGCCCACAGAGTGCTTATTAATCCCAGGAGAAAAAAAACACAGCACAGAAACTAGGCAAGACGCTGGCTGGGTGGTCAAAGTTAGAACCACCCACAAGCAACAGACCTCTGTCCAGTGCCTTCAGGTCTGACACCTTGATGCAGAGGGTTCAGCTGACATCTCGATCCCCATCTGATCAAAAGTCAGATCAATGCACAATGAAGAATTCTACTGTCACTCCCTTCCCTAAGCACTCGCAGTGTCTCCATGCTATTCCTGGATAAAACCCAAACCCCACAAACGGGTTTAAGAAGCATTTCGTGATCCATGGCCCAAACCCCGGGGCCTCCACACACGCGCCTCTGTGACCTCAAAGCTTCTCTCTCCCTTGTGCTCTCTGCTTGTGCCAGGGCTTTTCAATTTCGGAGAACAATTTAAGGTTGTTAAATTAATCAGATGAGGCAAACAAAAACAACGTATTTTCCAGTAGTGGCAAACATGCTTTGACCTTAAAAATTTATAAAAGGTGGAAGTCACTTTTACCTCTGAACCATGAGTATAATTTGTGTCTAACAGGAAACTAAAAACAGAGAAGCAGTTACAAACTAAAAAAATTTCTAATCAACTACATAATAGTATTTTTTTTCCTACATATTAATCACACAGTGCTCAGGAAAAAAAACAGAAACAGATTCTCCCAACCTGTTTAGCTGTCTAACTCAAAGAGTGGACTTGTCCAGTAACTAAGCGCTAGTATACCTACAGCCCATCTACCTCCACCTCCATGGGAACCACTGAAAGAACCCCTGCAACCTCTAAATATTCCCAGAGTTACCAAGATGCCATCCTCCCAGGATACACACACTTGAAACCTCTACTCATGGGATGTCATGAAATTCCTGATCTCACTTTCTACCCTGAGCCTGCTCCTACCCATTCCTCCCCTGAGTAGGTTTCTGGAAGAAAACACCCAAGGAGGGAGCCACAAATGGCCGCGCATGCGCTTAAAGAAACGTCTCTCCTGCTGCCCGCTGAGAACTGGGCAATAGATGGGAAGGGAAACCCTCTACCCAGCTCAAAGGGGAAAGAATAAAAGAAAAATGCGGCAGAAAGAACTCTCTTCTAGTTATTAGAAAAAGTAAGAAACTCCTCAGGCCCAGGTTCTTTTGAGTTGTCACCCGGGACTAATTATGTCAAATGATTTCTCTGAACTCTGCAAACAGCAAAGGCTTCACAGCTGTCCTTTCAAAACTGGGCTATTTTACAACGTGTTAGGGGCAGAGGTTAATTCTAGAACTCTGTCCAATCGAAATAGAAATAATTTCTAACCAGTGGAAAGATAACCCCCCCCAAATGACAGTTCATAGCCCTATTTAAATTAATCAGCTTTTACCTAAGCCAATGATCTATGACATTTTCTATGTATCTACCGTTTCAATGTTTTTTGAGTATTTTTTACATTTTACTGGTTCCCTCACTACTGAGTTGGAGAAACTCTTCAACAAATATCCACTTTGTATCACCATAAGTAATCATTTTACCTTTCTGGAAGTCCTCCTTTAACAAGTACCACTTGAGCTAGTCCATGGGGCTCCAAAGAGTCAGGCATGACTGAGCACACACATCCTTAGAAAACAGGCTGTGCTGTTCATGTGTATGGTTTGTAATCTACATAAGTGGTGTTGGGCTATAGATTTGATTTGGTGATTCCCTTTTATCTTAAAAAAAAAACAGGTGTCACTTGTAACACTGTTTCTACACATGATCAATAAACAACCTCTAAAATTTCAATCACCTCAGCTTGACTGGATTTTTTTTAATATATATAGTACATACAATATACACAGTGTACACTTAAACTGTTTAAGCCCTTTCATAGGAGAATGACCTATACTGTATATTTCTTGAATCATTACTGCACTATCAAAGGTCCCACTTAGGGCTAAAGATGCAAGGCAAACTTCCCTGGCTGCTAAGAAAACGGGAGCTGAAGGTCAAGTCAATAAACCCGGGAGAGTTCACAGCCCTGGCAATACTCTGCAGGTTAGAACTCCCCGTGGACTATTTTAAATCACCAGAAGCTTGGGCAAAGTAAGTCTGAACATCTGCTAGTGCAAACAGCTAATAGTATTTTTTTTTAATTTCCCTCTCTCCTCAGTCGCCTTCTCTGAGTGTTTTGCACTCTCCAGCTTTTACTCTCCGCATTCAAATAGTAAGAGAAAATAGTGGACAGAATTATGGCTGATAAGCTTCCAAAGAGTCTTATTACCTCAACATTAACAAAAAGGGAAATTGCTTAAATAAAACTACATTTAACAGTAAGTATGCATTGCTGGGTTCAGAGCTTTTTGAGAAAAATGGACCGTACAAAGCGAGTTTAAACGCTGCTGCCAAATGAAGATCAAACTTGTATAAAGATTTTTTTAAATCTAACATAAACCAATGGGAAAATAGATTTTGCTACAAAAGCTTCATTTGGCATATCTACTCATTTAGTAAGAAACATACCACTGTGTACTGTAAGAAGCAAAACAAAATATCAAAACATGACTCTATGCTTCAATCTATGAACCAAACACAAATTAACTTGAAAAGAGCAGACCTCAGTATATTTGTATTCTAGAATCTAAACAAAGACATTTTTCAAAACTAGTCCTAGTTGCTGAGTTCGCTCTCTAACTTTCCATTCCAATCTTGCTTCCGAGTCTGCTTTTCTCTGAGTTTCCAATGGTTATCGTGTTGTTAGATTTGACCATCACCAGTCATCCAGTTCAAGAGCCTAGGAATTCTCTTTGTGCCTCCCTCTGCTCACATTTTTCAGTGAAACAGCGAGTTCTGTCAATTTCTCCTCCAAAACATCTTCTGAAGCTTTGTATTTCTCCCCATTTTTTTCCCTAATACCATCCCAGGCCAACACACACCAACACATTTGGCCTGAACCTCTACCACCGTGTCTTAACCTTCTGCTCATGGGCCCTCTACAAGGCTACCACCACTACCGGAGGGGTAAACGTATAAATTGTATCATGTAACTGCCCTCTTTAAAAGCCTCCACAGGTTTTTGTTAACAACAAGAAAAGGCCAAGTGCGCACTTCTCAGGGCCTTCCGGCACTGCAACATGCAGCTTCTATCTACTTTCCCAGCATCTCTGCTGATACAGCTCCTCCATACTCAGGACCTCAATCCAACCCAACAGTTGAAGCCCTTGCACCGTGGAGCGCCTAGCACACTGGTTCCTTCCCTCTTTCCAGGACAGCTTCCTCTGGTCCTGAAGATGCCAACTCACACGAACCTGCCACCTAAAGTGGTCCTCTCTTTACCATCTATACCTCTTGACACCGCTTACCTTCCTCATAACGTTTAGCACTATCTGTAAAAGTGTGTGTGGCGGGGGAGGGGGGGTGATGTCTTTTCTTGCACCCCTAGAACACAAGATCTAGTCCGAGTAGGGGCTTTCTGTCCTATAGACCAGTTTCCCAGGGCCTCGATGAGACAGTGAGTTCGCAACAAGTATCTGCTTACTCCATGAGGCCTGCACGTAGGATTCTCTGAGTCCCAGCCGAGAGACTGTCTACTTCCTTCTCCTCGGGCCCTCAAAAAGGCTTCCCCCTTCTGGCTCTCCAAAGGTTGGAAGACAGTCCTCCCAACGCCTTGAGTTTTCACACGTATAATACTGATACGAAGGGAAGGTCCTGGCGCCGGCTACTGAGGGGAGCCCTGCGGCGGCGTCCCGTGGCGGCGGGCGCGCGGAATTCACGGGGAGGGACTGGCTCTCTGGGGCCACTTTCCAGCGGAACGGCCCCGCCCTGGTAGTGCGTTCGAGTCGGACCAGAGATACTTAAAGGAGCCTGTGACCCCCAAAGGCCCAAAAGAATGGCGGCGAGGCAGGTGAACACTCGCAAACCCCGTCAGCCCCCTCCCCAGCGCCGAGCGCCCGCGGGCCGGGACGCGGGAGGGCGGGGCGGCCTCGGCGTCGCGCCTCCCAGCCCGCCCCGCCCCCTGCACGCCCCCCGGGCTCCGCGCCCCCGCCTCCCGCGCCTTACCTGCGGGGTCGAGCGCCATGTCCACGCGCAGGAGGCGGCAGCCGCGCGGCCGCCCGCGAGAGTGGCTGGGGCGGGGCCTGCACGGGAGGCGGGGCGGGGCCGCCCACGGAGCGAGAAGAGGAGCGCGGCGCCCAGCGCAAAGCGAAGTGGCTTCAGCGCCTCTTACTTCCTGGTCGCGACTTCCGCCGCTCACCGCGCCTGCGCACTCCCAACCCCGTCCCTAGGCGCGTGACCCGAGCGGAGGGGCTCGCCCGAGGGAAGCCCCGGGGGGGTGGGCGCGGAGCCGCCTGGAGCCCGCAGGCGCGCCGGGCGCGAGGCTGGGAGCCGTGCCCGACGGCGCTGTGAGGTGTCCGGCGGGGACCCGCACCCCGGGACGACTCCATTCAATCCCAAGCCTCTCGCAGCATTCCTGCCTTCGGCCCTGACCATCGGACGCCTGTGCCCTCCTGGAGGTTACAAGTAGGAAGTGGGCGCAAGGGGTACCTCTGTCCTGTGAGATGATACCCTTGGATGATGCTACAAATCCCCACTCTCTCGATTGAAACTGCTAAGTGTGTGAGAAAAATGAAGGAAGGTGATAGGCATCGTCAAGAACCCCAACTTCCCCCTTCTCAGTAGGAACTCGGGGTAGCAGTGATGCCCATACCCATTCACCAAACAGCCTTCAGAAAGGCTCCCTCGTTATGCCTACGTGTAGCTAGCTCCAGCCCCCGAAGGGTGAGGTGCGGAGGGGGACAGATGGGACAGATGTTGGAAAAACAAGGAGCAGCTGCTGCTTCCCTGTGAGGGATTTAAGGCTTTCAAAAAACGGCCCCCTCCCCACCTACCTGCGGGCCCTCCTCCCCTGCTGCTGTTTCCGCCTGGTCAGTTGGCAGAGAAGCTGACGCGGTGCAGCAGGGCTGGGAAAGTGGGTCTCTGCGCAGCAGGTCTTCGTTTAAGGGCCTATTTGGGCATAACGGCCCTTATCACAGCTGCAGGGTGAGGTGCCAAGCTGGAGAATTAATGTTTCACTCAGCCAGGCAGGAAGTCGGGCCCTGTTCCCTGTATGTTTTATAAGTGTGTTTAAAAACACACCAAATTCATTCTGGAGGGGAAGGATTTAATTTAGGATGGAAATATTTTTGAGGAGATGAAGTGGGGTAAAAAAAATATGAGTCAGTCACACGCGTAAGTAGTTGAATGAAATCTTCCTTATACAAAAATAAAAGCATCCTGGTAAAGGGGAACCTTGGAGAGCATGAGTCAGAGACGTAAGTATCTCCACCTGAATCCTGTTTCACCCCCTACTCTTTCTAGGTTGGCTAAGTCCCAATGTTTCTCCAGACTTTTGTTTCTAATTTGCAAGGTTGTTGTGAGAAATAAATATACCATCTAACACTCTTTGAGTCATTCATGTACCACTTCCATAGTTTTTTCCATAACTGAGTATCACTTGAACCACTATTAATTTTTTAAATAAACTGAATTTTAAAAAATACCTTAAATGGACACTCCCTACTTTAGCCTTATCATAAGCAAGAATATCTGTAAAATCATGGTTTTTGTGTGCCCATAAAACAGTGTATGGTCAGGCCACACAAAATGACTGTTCTCTTGCTCTCTACATCCCCAGCCCAAGCAGCTACTCGCATGTCTGACCTTCCTATGTACTTGCTCCTGCCCCAGCTTGTCATGGTTCTAATCCAAGGAATGGTGAGGGGCGTGCCCCTCTGCTAGTTTCCATGGTAACCAAGAGCCAGCTTGACATCCATTATTTCTAGAACTGACAATATCCTTCTGTCCCTGGGGAGCGAAGACTGCCACCACATCCTGCCCACTGTCCACTGCATGCAGTGGGACGTTGGTCCAGTGCCCTTCTTCAGACGTGTAAGATCCCCCTGCCATTAAACCACTGATGTCTCTGTTGCCAACTCCAGGCTCTTTCTTAGGTCTTAAAGCTGGACAATATAAGGCTTGTAGTTCTGCAACAAACAGCCAGCTAGACATTACACTATGAGAAGTACTGGCAAAAACAGCAACTCACTGCCTGGTACCAGATAGTATATTCCATCTCCTCCCTCACGTGAGACTAGGTTGTTTGGGGACAAAGTCTTTATAATCTGCCTGGGAAAGAGAAGTCTTTTTTTTTTTAAGTTAAATCATAGAAATGTAATTGGCAATTCAAAACAAGAAATTTCATAAGCAATCACACTATGAATAGACAATTTGGGGCTGAAGGGCTCACTGCCACAGGAGCGGAAGAGGGAGGAGGGCCCATCGTCCTGGGAATGAGCTGCAACTTCATCCACCGGGGATCACTGGGGTTCAGAAATCAGACCCTTTAGGGTTCAGACCCTAAAGGCCCCATGGTTGCTGTCACCAAGGATTGAGTGTCAGAGTGGTTAGGAAAGATGTCAAAAATGAGGACAAATTAAGGTTGACTTTGAAAGATGAGTAACAGGTAAGCAGAGAAGAAGGCTTGTCATGCTAGGAGAAGAAGGAGCAGACACCTCTGGGGTTCGAGATGTTCTTGAAGGACAGTGTGACGTGGAAAAGAGGGGGAAGGGAAGGACACACAGGAGCAGAAGCGCAGGGACACTCATGACTGCA